TGAGAAGCCACCTTTAAAGGCGCTATATAAAATAAAGTTTATTATTATTATTTTTACCTTCCCAGCCCGGCTGGCAGGCGCAGGAGAAGCTGCGGTAGTCGGCGCTGTGTTTGCACACCCCTCTGTTCTCGCACGGGTTGGGCGAGCAGGGCGTCAGCACCTCCGCACAGGTGCGTCCTGCGGACAGAGAGCAGCGGTCAGCCGGCACAGGCAGCGAGGGAGCCTCACCCACACTCCAGCTCCGAGCTCCGAGCTCCGAGCTCCAGCCCGAGATTCCAACAGCCTCGCGGATCTTTTCGGATCCAGAAACCCTGCTTCTGGATGGTTTTCCCAACGTGAAAGTGACGTCGCTCGAGCCCCGACCCCTCCCCTCTGCCGCTGCCGCTGATCCCGAATTTCTCCTGTCCCGCCCCATGATGCAATCTGAGCCAGTGAGGCAGCCGCCCTCTCAGAGACATGCCTCATATCCGTGAATCTCATCTCATGGATCGACCATCCAGGACGCAGGGCGCAGGCGTTCCTGCCAGGGGTGCCAGCGGGAGGCTCACCTGTGTAGGGCAGCTCGCACAGGCAGGTGAACATGCCCACGCCGTCCACGCAGGTGCCCTGGTTCAGACAGGGGCCGGAGGCGCAGTCGTTGATGTTGGTCTGACACAGCGTACCTGCGGGCAAACACCGGCACGTGGGCTCAGCCAGTGGCTCGGAAAGGCTCTCTTGCATCCGCTCCAGCCCCCCCCAACCCCACCCGCCTCATCCTCGTCAGCCACCCGCCCTCCTCCTCCTCCTCTTCCTCACCTCGAAACCCGTCCCGGCACCTGCAGCTGAAGCCGTTGACCAGGTCGATGCAGCTGGCGCCGTTCTGGCAGGGGTTCGACTGGCACTCGTTCCGGTCCAGGTCGCAGTTCTTGCCCACCCAGCCCGGCTCGCAGTCGCACCTGTACCTGCGTGGGGGGGACACGGAGCAGGGAGAGGCGGGGTCACGGGGCAGCCGGTGTCGGGGGGGACCAGCCCCGCAGCCCCAGACCTCGCTGGCCTGACCCGCGGGGACACACGGAGATTGGGAACGAGACGCACTCAAGCCTACAAAGCGGGGGGAGAGGGTTTCGTCTTTCTGGGAAGGAACGCGTCTCCGGACCACCCAGCCAGGCCGCTGCAGCCGAGCGGGATCCCGGTGAGCTTGTGGGATCGGGGTGAGCCGAGCTGGCTGGTTTGTGGTCCAGCTGAGACCTCGCTTCATGAAGGAACCGACGGCTGATTTCACGAGGAAGTTCCCACACTCGGGGGGCCCCCTGCATCTGCAAGCCCCCCCCCGGCCCGGGCTTGGGCTGGGGCTCCTTACCCGTTGACGTCGTCCCGGCACGTCCCGCGGACACAGGGGCTGCTGCTGCACTCGTCCACCTCCGAGTAACACAGCAGGTCGTGGAAGCCCTCTGGACACAGGCACCGGAAGCCGTTCTCCTCGTCCACGCACGTGCCCCCGTTGCGGCACGGGTTCGAGGCGCACTCGTCGACCTCCACGTTGCACAGCGGACCTGCAGAGGGAGGTGACCACGGAGAGAAGGGGGGGGGTGAGAGGTCTTGGGCGGCAGGGGTCGCCAGGGGATGGGAGAGGAGCACAGCAGATGGGTTTCTCCTCACCTGTGAACCCCGGCTTGCAGACGCAGTCGTAGCGGTTGATCCGGTCCACACAGATGCCGTAGTCGCAGGGGTTGCTGGCGCAGTCGTCGTAATTGATCTCGCAGTTCGGGCCTGGAGAGGACAGCAGCGCGTCAGTCCCACGGGGCGGGGCAGCAGTCCCACACTTCGCATCACCACGAGAAACGGGGGC